AATGTCAGGATTAGGTTGATGATTTCAATGTCGAGAATAATTCGAGAAAATTCACGAATGGGAATTTGACGAACACAAACGCGTTCGAGTCACGCGAAGATTCACGATCAACTACATCGATTACGTTTTAATTGGACGCTAATTAATAGTTCGAACGGTTGCATTCTTATCCGTATACGAGATTATCTTTTATTATCCTTTTTGATTCTTAAAAAAATTGATCGGCGTTATCGATAATGAAAAAAAAAATACATGATGATTTATCTTCTTTTTTTTTTCTTTTGTTTCTTTTTCTTTTTCGTATAATTTCACGAAAGAAATCACATTCTCATTTACTTTCTATCATATATCTCTACTATATAATATACATATACATTTATATTATACAATGGAGAAGGGGGAATGACCGAAAAAAGGGGTGGAATCGGTAAAATCTCTGGTCGACCCTTCTTCTTCTTCTTCTTCTTCTTGCCATGCTCCATTTCGACGATTGCGTACTTACTACAAATCGATACCGATATATCTTAGACGTCTTCGAACTGGTAGAATTATTTCATGGAAAGTAGACAGTCCCCTTTTGTATAACCCCCCTCCTCCTCCTCCTCCTCCCTTCCCTTTCGACCATGCCATTCTTCTTTTTCTTTCTCCCTTAATCTACGCAATTTCTTTTCGCAGTAGCTTCTTATTTACATTAATTGTTGATCGATCGTATTAAAATTTAAATGTTATAACATTTTCTTATAGTTCAAAGTGTAACTCTGCATGAATAAACAATTACATTCTCGTGCTAAGTGAAATAAATGATAATACCTCGTTTGGTCGATAAATATATATATATATTATGTATGTATGTATGTATGTGTATAACGTTGTTGGTACGCGAGTATTATTTCTAAGCAAATGAGAGACTGAAAAACAAAGACAAAGACGAATATATATATACATGTCATCTATAATTTGCGAATAGTTCGTAAATGAGACTAACGAAAGCTACTTCTCTACTCGTTATATGAATATGTATACGAAATCTATAAAAGGAGAGACACTTTTTCAACAACCATATAAATCTCTCTTTTTTTTTTTTTATTTAATTTTGTCGAACTAACAAATTGTTTTGAATTTGTGAGAAGAGATGCGCTTAGAGAAATTAATCGACCGTAATTACAAAATATATGAAAATCAAAACTCTGTTTTTTTTTTTTTTTCCTAATGACGATTGATTACAGCAATATCGATAAAAAAAAAAAAAAAAAAAAAATTGTCGGAAATAAATTTTTTACCACGAATAAACGATTTTTATTTCTTTCCTCTCTATTAAAAGGTAAAATTACTAGTGCGTAATCTATGACGATATCATCGAAATATGTATAATAATATAGATGTGTTAATGTTCGTTCGTTCGGATACGCTCATTGAACGCGTTCGAGCGGACGTTGAGTTTCATATGATTACCGATTTATTTGGGCGATAATGGATGGACGATGTATTGCGACCATTTTCACGGCTAGCACGCGACGACGCTCGAACGATTTAAACGTTAGCTTTTTTGTTTTGTAACCGAATGAGCGAGCGGAGCCCACCACCTCTCGCTCCATTTCAACGATTGCGTACAGTAAACCACTTTCGTTTACGAATCGATTTGGAATTTCGAATATTTCTATATTTATCTCTCTCTCTCTCTCTCTCTTTATTCTATCGTTTCTTTGCTTTTTTTTTTTTTTTTTAATAAAATATATTATTAACCTCCTATTTTTTTGTTCTCCTATAATTTTTATCCGAATTTGTGTTCTTTTTCTTTTTTTTCCAAATATGAATTTATTGATATTATCAATTAAACGTACGAGTTGTATTTTGTTAAAGTTAAAAATCGTATTTCATTAATTCATATTATTCATATATAACGATTATTTTTTTTTATTTAACATCATATAGTAATATTATTGTATTATATACACATACGTGGTTTCAGTTGTCGATGAAGATTCTCTCTCTGTCTCTCTTTCTCTCCCAAGAAAGATGATAAGTTCGATTCAATTGGTAAACGATGATAGGACCTTAAGAGTGATTGCTTTCTCGTTGACCGCATTTTACAAATAACAACGACAATACACTTTAAACTCATAACCAATGCAAATTGCTTATTTCCCAGAACCTCGTACCAACGAATTGATTTTGAAAGAAACAGAGAGGGATGGGGAGAGGGACAAGAAGAAGAAAGGGAAAAGGAGAGAAGGTAAAGAATAGGTGGGGAGAGGGGGATTTTTATTTTCAGTTGGGTCCTATCAATAAAACTTTATTTTCATTTTTCTACGGAGGTGAAAAATTTAAAAAAAAAAAAAAAAAAAAAAAAAAATGGAAAATAAAATAAAACAAATAATGACGAGAGAGAAAAAGGTAGGAAAACTTTTAACAAATTTCCCATCGAAAATCAATCATACGATTGAATGTAAAAAAAATGGTAGGAATATAACCCCGTGGTTACTGAAAGTAATTACACGTTTAAATTAGTTCAAACAAAGGGGGTGTACCAGGGCAAGAATATTTCTTTTTCAAAAAAACAAAAAAAAAGAACAAAATCACCAACTTTCGTCGACACTTAATTACCTTTCTTTCTTCCTTTTCTTTTTTTGTGTGTTTTTTCTTTTTTCTATTCTTTTTTTCTTTGCTGTACTTTCACATATCTACATATTCCTCTTGTATAAACGTATTACCATATTTCCAATATCCATTAAATACAAAACGATTCTAAAGTAGTAAAATCAATAACTAACTCTAATAATTCATAGAATAATCACGTTTAATACAATTACGAATGAATGACTAAACGATGTGTATATTAATTGACGCTGATATAAACTAAACTAAATTTGTCTCGCGAAAATTATTTAAAATAATATTTTATCAAAATTTAATCGGAAATAATCGAAATTTATTATCGTTAAACTATATTATAAATATATATATATATATAATCTCTGACAAGAGAGAGAGAGAGAGAGAGAGAGAGAGAGAGAGAATTTCATTTTAAGCGTTCGATACTAAGTCGAGAATATGCATAGTAGATCTTTGTGATTTTCCACGCTCCCGGGTGTACAACATGGCGGATAAGTAGCTACGACCTTCTCTACTTACGTATCCAAGTTATTCTCTCTCTCTCTCTCTCTCACTCTCTCACACTTTCTCATACTCACTCTCCGAGACTCTCCTGGGTAAAGAAACTTTCTCTACCCTCACTCGCGAGATAAGATGCATAATTGCTCGGATTTTCCTCTGACGCGTTTCCAAGCAAGCCACTATCCTCTTTTCGTTCCTTTTTACTTCCCATCCGATAGACACGGTTGGTCGGTTAAATCTCAGACTAGAAAGAACGATGATGCCCTTTTCTTCTTTCGCCCTTTTTGACTTTTCCTTACTCTAAACTTTTGTTTTCTATCTTCACGATTCTGCTACATTTCATATATTTTATATTTCTCTCTCTCTCTCTCTCTCTCTCTCTCTCTTTCTATTTCTCTTTTATCATTTTTATCTTACCGCGTGTTTCCACTTAAGTTAACGTTAAATCGAAATTTCAGTTTTTTATCGAATAATTTCAAACGATTTTAACGTTTTTTCAAAATGAAAATATTTGATTTTATATATTTTATTTGATAAATCAATTTTTATTTCCCAACGAAATTTATTTATTAATATACTTGAAATATAACACATGAATTTTGAGTTAGTATTTGGTTGGTTAACAAATTTGGAGTCTAACGTAGTAACAATGTTCCATCGATCAAACATACTTTTCAACCTATTCTCTTCTACAGAACATCTCAAAAATCTTTATTGTGAATAATAAAATAGATAAGAAGAAAAAAAAATATATATATATATATCACGTATATTGTTTTACAAATAAAATAGAAATATTTTGTCCATTATACCAAGAGAGAACAAATTTTGAATCTTTTAACTCCATAAAGCGACTTCAGGGACACACACATTATATGTATAGAAATATTATATTATACTTTAAAGTAATTCTTTATCTTATTATTATAACTAATCCTTAAAGTACCATCATGTTTCACGAATAAATGTTCAAGTATTCTCATTTAAATGAGCTCCCATCCCTTTTATAGACACACACGCACGAGAACACATACTTGTTACATATATACGCGTATGTGGGATACGTTTTAAAGGGGGGTAATAAAGGAGAATGATGAACGTTAAGAAGAAGGGTATCTCTCTCTCGTCGTAGACTATTTGAAAAAAATTGAAGATCTCCGGTTTTGGAGTACGAAAAAAGAAGAAGAAAAAGAAAGAAAAGAGAGAGAGAGAGAGAGAGAAAAAAAAAAAAGAAAAAGAAGTATATTACATCTCGTTTATCGCCGTTGTCTCGTTTCGCAAAAGCGTCGGCTTTTAATTCTTTCATCCACCTTAATCCTTCTTCCGTGTCAAGCGGTAACTCTTTTAATCTTCCCCCGTGGGCTAATGTACGACCCCTTGACATCTTTTTGCTAAATGTTTCTAGCTTTGTTTTCATTTTTCTCATTCTAACATTGGAGGAAAAACACCGCAAAGTCGCCCACTTCATCCGTCCACCCTTCTTCTTCTCCTTCTTCCTCTTATTCTTTTTATTCTTTTTCTTTCTCTCTCATATTTTTCCAAGTACTTATTTTTCAGCTTACTCATTTCCGTGTCATAATATTATTCCTAATAATGTTTACACTCTTTCGCTACTTTTTTATTTTAATATCTCATCAATCTATTAATTAATTTAATCGTTTCAAAATCCATTTCGAGAAACGCCCTGCTGTTTTTTAATATTACTTAAATCATTCTTGGCATAATCATTTTAACATTTTGCTTTATACGTGTCTCCCATAATCCTATTATCTTTACAAAGATACAAATATTATAATAATAATAATAATAATAATAAAAGGCAAACGATAAAAAGAAGAAAAAGGACACTTTTTAACACGTTTATCATATTTTTCCTTTCTTTTTAGGTGGCTTCACCTGTTGTTTAATCTGGGAGTGCAGGTGGTCGTGGGACTTCCACTCGAGATGGTGCACGGAAGTTTGAGGATTGCCGCTGTTTATATGGCTGGAGTCCTGGCCGGTAAGTTAATCATTATGATTATATATCGTGACAATAATTATATTCGCTATATTAACTTTATATAATATATATTCTCTTACTCTCTCTCTCTCTCTCTCTCTCTATCTTTGTCTAATTTTTTTTTTATTAATCTCTTTCACTTCCCCTCTCTCTCTCTCTCTCTCTCTCTTTCTCTTTATTTCGATAACGAAAGAACATATATTCATACCATACCGTGGCATATTAATTTCGAAATAACACCGCGTTAATTAGAAGGCCTTGTAATTGGAGAACAACATTTGTTCCTAGCATGAGTATAGTGTGTTGATTTAAGTTTGCATTATTTGTAATTATATTAATTATGGAATAGCATCGTGTGCATTTCCCGAAAGAACAGGTCTCGTTCTCTCTCTCTCTCTCCCTCCCTCACCCTTTCTTTCTTTTATGTACACATAGGAGTACATTTAGGTAAACGCACTATTGTGTTCACAGCGACACAACCATTTCATACTCCTCTACTTCGTGCCCCGACTCTGTTTCGGGATTTCCAGTAGAGGTGGTGATGATAATGGTGGTGGTGGTGGTGGTGATGGTGGTACAGGTACACCTCCTCTACCTCTCTTTCTCATCCTGTTCCTTCCATCTTTCTCTCACTCTCTTTCTCTACACGAAGAGACAGTAACGTGGTGGTCCTGTGCTTCTCTCTCTCTCTCTCTCTCTCTCTCGTCGTCTATATGTATATATTCGTGTACACCTAATTGCCATTTGCATAAATTCGATTAGACGCAGATCCCTGGTTATTAGCAGTCATGAAAGTAAAACGTTGCAAAATAGGGCACATGAATAATAAACCTGACCGGGAGATTCGAGAATAGACATTGGACGTATCCCTGGGATATAGGGGAGGAATTTTCAAGGGGTGGAGAAACGCAAACGGGTAAAACTTAAGGAACGGAACGATCGGCTTATCGCCTGCCTGCCTGCCTGCCTCCTCTTCTCTTCCCTCATCCTCCCTCTCTTTTCCTTCTCCTCGTTTTAGATAATGCCGAAGTCTGTTATTAGAGAAATTGTGTAGCGATTTACCCGATACCACGATCGATATCTACTACGATTTTTTTTTTTTTGTTGTTGTTATAATCTTTAATAATCCAACATTGAAAATGTTATTTCTTTTTGTTTTTCTTCTTTTTGTTTTTCTTCTTTTCTTCCTTCTAAATTCATCCCTCATAATGGGGAAAATAAATTTCAATTTAAATGTAGAGAAAAAAAAGAAACTAAGAAGAAAAAAAAAAAAAAAAAAAAAAAAAAAATAAAAAGAAAAGAGAAAGAAATCCATGAAACAAATATTTCAACACACAACTTAACAAAATAATAAGAATTTTTTCTACCGTAACTAAACTCATATATTATTTTTTCCATACTTTTTAACTCTTATCTCTCTTCTTATCTTTTATAATAATAATTATATTATATAACGCTATCTTTCTTTATTTCTTTCTTTCCTTCCTTCCTTCCTTCCTTCCTTCCTTCCTTCCTTCCTTCCTTCCTTCCTTCCTTCCTTCTCTCTTTCATTATTTCCTTCATTTATTTTTATTTAATCAATTTTCTTTATTAATTATAATTAATTCGCAGGTACGTGTGCACACACAGAAACAAACACACGTACGCATGCACGCACGCGATCTTTGTAATTTACGAAACGCGAGTTTCATAAGCATAGTAAATATTGTCTTTGGTCTCTGTTTCTCTTCCCCTTCCCCTCCCAACCCTTCTTTCCTTTCTCTCTCTCCCTCTCTCTCTCTCTAGAAAGGGCGACAGCTTGTCTGGGGCCACCGCGACAAGATTACTTCGTATGCATCGCGGTCGCGACGATGTAATGCGATTGCTGTGACGCAAGTGCAACGACATCTACCCTCCACAAGCCTTCTCTATATCTCTTCCACAATGTTTCCCTCAACCCTCGTCCGCCATTTCACCCCCTATCCTATCCTTAGTATATACCACACGTTTCAACTCATCTCCACACCATTTTGAATTTCTTCTTTCTATGGGTTACTACTTTCCCCTTATCATCATCTCTTTCTTCCTCCTACTACTTTCTCTTTTTTTTTGACTCAACACCCCTCTTAAAAATTTCTTATCCAAGATTTATTGGCATGTAACGTATATTCGTTCCCTTCTTTTCATTCGAAGAAAAAGGAAAATAGAAAACAAAAAAAAAGGAACGGGACGAACGAGAATGTATTTTAAAATAGAGAATTATTTTATTCTTTCGTTTTTTTTTTTATTATCCTTAATAAATGTCATCTTCTCTCTCTCTCTCTTCTATTTTTTTATTTTTTTATTTTTTTATTTTATTTGCTATTAAAAAGTTCAACAGAATACCCGAAGTCTACGAATTATTCAACAAAATAACGATGATTTTATTTTATTTGCATTTTACTGATAAAATTACCCATCATCTAAACATTATTTATATTTAGTCCCTTAAGTTTGAATACTTTACGATCCTCCTTGATTACCTTCATTAACATCATTAAATAAAACGAGCTACTCGTAAAGATACTTCCATGATCTTCCTTTAACAATCCATCCCCACTTTCTAGTAAATTAATGATTAGAAAAAAATGCGACATATATTTCGCAAATTTATTTAAATCGAAGTAAACGTGTATTTATCGATCGACGTGCATACAAATATATACATTTATCTCTCCTCTATTATATATACATATATAATCATAATAGGAATACGTTTCATTCTACATTGGAGAGATATCATAACAATTATAATCCATAAAATAACGACGATTATTCCATAACAACATGATTTTGCAAAATCAACAATACGTTTATTAACCGGATTCGATAGGACCATAAAACAACCAACATCGAAAATACAGAGAACGGATCATTGAGAAGGGCTTTGTTATTTTTTTTTTTTTTTTATTATTAAGCGGATGTTGAAAAGAGTGATACAGAGGGAAGAGATAAAGAACGCACAATTCGCATTCGATGAGTCGCGTGTTCGTCGGAGATATTCGCGTATGAACTACTGTACAGTAGTCAAACTCGTTATCTGTCCTACTACTGCTGCTGCTGGGTTTGTGCATAGGCTAGTCATTTCTACTTCGATAATTCGACTGCACCAATGGTCGTTTTCTCTATCTATCTCTCTCTCTCTCTTTCTCTTTCTCTTTCTCTTTCAAATGTGAAACGTTTACGAACAACGTGAAAGGGATTGGTAACGCTATTCGGTACGAAATGAACGACTGAAATATAAATGGTCATCGCTCGAAAGTATTAATTGCACTTTGATAACGAAACGCGAATACGTTCGAAACACCATTCCTACAACTTTTATGTAATTGTACTTTCGATCTACGGATCGTTTGAGAGAATACGATAGATAGTAGGTATGGTAATATGTATATTTATAGCTGGTATTACCTATCCAATAGGATTTGTCAAAAGTTCAAGTCTAAAATATCCAAAGCCTTTCTATTCGTTTTCAACTTCATTCGAGTGAACTATTTTTTTGGTTTGGGGTTTTTTCTTTTTTCTTTTACTTTGTTTCTTTTTTTATACCCCGTTGACGTAGTTTGAATTTTAATTGATCGTAAATGCATAAAACTTTGATTGACTGAATGGTTGGTGGAGATACGTGGGTACTTTAAGGTATCACGTCGCAGCGTAATAGGTTGATAATGGTGTTGGAAAAAGAATGTAGAACGATCGTGAAAATAAAGCCGTATTTTTGTGTGGGCGGTAAACAAAAATTACAAATAAAAATTCAAATTAAAAAAAAAAAAAAAAAAAAAAAAAAAAAAAATCTTCGGTGGTTACATGATAACGGTTGAGAACACCGTTGTTCCTCGGTCAGACATAACAGCGATAGATACATAGGATATATGTAC